TCAATATTGTATAGTGGAATCGGCTCTTTTAGCTTCCACGTCTGCACCTTATTTTCTGTGATGAATTGCTTATTGATAAACTTCGTGGTGGCTCCGCTGTCCACCATAGCGATTATGTCCTTGTGCCATCTTTTTCCTCTAAGGCGCACCGGGATGTGGAAATGCTGGGACCCGTGGTCCAACTCATACACATTAGCGGTCGCCAATACATTGTACACATTGTTATTACACGGCCCGACGCGTGCGGCACGAAGCGTGGACCGGATCAAAAAGACTCCTCTTTGAGCGCTCGATAGTGCTCCAGCTCCTCGCGCATCGACTTCATCTGTGCTATTAAGTCCGCCAGCTCGGAACTTTCCGATTTCGCTGAAGCGGCGCTTATACTCGCCGAGGATGAAGCAACGGGGGCGCTTGTCACGAGTTGGTACGGCGCCTAGCCATTTTTTAATTTTTTCCTTTTCGCGGGCTCGAACCCGCGACCTCTGTACTACCTGCCTGATATGGACGCATCGTTATCTACTGTATGATTAGATTAGATGGGGCAGCAGTGCATGGCACAGCTTGGGCTCCGCTGACACAGCCGCTCTGACTCACCGGCCCCCGGGGCCGCGTCGGCATGCTGTGCACGGACCAGCTGCGCACGGACCAACGCGCACAGCCTCCCCTAAACTCCCCCTGTATATAAGCCTGCCTCTGCTGCCCTAGGGACCTCAGTTTCGACCTCTTGTCCCTAGGTCAGTAAGCCCTCACTTGTATCCTTACTTACCCTTTACTAACTAATACATTTCTTGTCCCTAGCCTTAGGTTTGAGCCCAGCTCACCATCGCTTCGGTAAGATAAGTCGAACGCCCCCAGCGTTTGGTTTTCCCCTGTCGCTCGACCCTAAGTCGCGACAGCGCTTGTCGCCGCCTGGGTAGAGCCCGAGGCAACCGTAGCCCGCGCGTTGGCGTGTTTTGTGTAAGGCTTGTCCTTACAGTTGGGGCACTCGAAGCGTCGGTACCCTTGCTTTCCGCAGCTGAAGCAACTGCCGGGGAAGTCACCTTTTCCGACGGCCGCATTGATGCTGGCCAAAGCTCCTTGTGGTCAAGGTGCACCACCACGTGCCCCTCCACGTCCTCGGCCTCGAGTCGAGAAGAAATTGTTTAGCTCGGGCCGACGGGCCTGGCTGACATCGAGGATTTGCTCGACCTCGGTGGCGCACTTGTCAGCGGCTTGCCACGTGGCAAAGGTCTCGAGCTCAATCTTGCGATAGACGCGGGAGGGGATACCGCTCAGGTACTTGTCGCGTAGTTCCAGGTCCCCATACCCGGAACGGTCCGCCGGACCCTTGAACAGTGCAGAGAATTCTGCGGCGGTGCGCTTCTCGCGCACAGTTTTGTCAGCGCAGAGCTTGGTGAGCTCTACCTGTGCAGCGGCGGTGTTGTCGAGATTTCCAAAGCGAGCCTTGAATGCCGTGAGAAAGGCTGCTTCGTCGGTGAACGGAGTCATGGATCCCTGAGTCCCAATCTGGACAGCGGCGAGCTGGGCAAAGATGGGAGTGGCCCAGGCTCGCGCGTCACCATCGAGGAGGCTGAGGGCAACTTGGACCTTCAACTTGACAGTGGAGAGGGTCGTATTGATTGCCCAGTAAATGAGCAACTGGGAGATGAAGCGGTTGCACTCGACGACCGTTTTGCCATCATATCGGAGAGGAAGGTGAAGCTTCAACATCTCCTTATCGGAAGGGGGTGCTGGCGACGACATTACCAGCGACGAGGGGGACGGAGGACTGTCCGCGGACGAAGGTGACTGTTGTGACTGTCCGCCGGGCGAAGGCGACTGTTGTGACTGTCCGCCGGGCGAACTTCGCGAGGAACGAGTGCTTGTGCGGCCTCGCGGCGGCGACGGTGGTGGAGGCAATGGAGGAAGCCCAGGGGCGGGGTTACGTAAGATAGGGACTGAAGGCGAGGTGGTGACCGCTGACGATGAGCCAGCCCAAGAATGCGGTGGAGTGTCGCTGGGCTCGGTCTTGGGAGGCCTTTCCAACCACGGCCCCAAGGAGGGCTGGGGGATCGCTTGAGGGGCCGCTGAAGGCTGTGCGACTGCCTCAGTTCTTCTAGGGAGATCGGGGTCGGTCTCCTCGCGCTTGACCTGTACTGGTGACAGGTTGGGGGATGTGGGTGCCCGGGGAGGCGGGACACGATGCGACGGGAGTGACGTGGCGGGAGACAGATCGGGACGCGTATTTGAGATCTGGTCCAAGGGGGTGGTGGACTCATTGGATGGGCACAAAGCGTCCGTCTTCAACAGTGATGGAGCGTGGGGTTCGATTAGCGCACGGCTGCCGGTCACAGTCGAAGAAGAGGGAGCCGGGATCGTCGAAGCATGCGACGTCAACATGATCTTCGGCGTCGAATGCGTGCTCAAGTCCCACGCAATTGAAGGCTTCTTCAGCCACGATGGATGGAGGGAGGAAGGGGAGGTGCGCGTACTATGAAAGGCCGTTGTAGACTAGCTTACACCTACGGTGCCCGAGGTGACACTAGGGTTCGCGATTCACGTGGGGCCCAGTACTGCTTTTGGCTAGTATGCAGCAGGAACCTAGTCCACATGTCCGGTTAAGGACAAGCACCGCCCACTGAAGTGCAGGTGCTGAAAGGTTCGTTCCCTGAGTGTTGGCGATGTAACGTAGGCTATCTATGTATCGTATGGTATCGTAAGAGTGCGCACCACCCGACCTATAGGAAGTGAGTGTGGGTTGTGGGAGTCTCAAGGGATGCCGGCAGCAGTGGGGAGTTTCGACCTAATGTCGCGACTTGGGGTCAAGCGACTGGGGAAACCTAAAAGGCTGGGGGCGTCCGACTAATTCTCACCAAAGCGATGGTGAGCGAGGCTCAAACCTAAGGCTAGGGACAAGAAAGTATATTAGTTAGTAGGGTAAGAAAGAATACAAATGAGGGCTTACTGACCTAGGGACAAGAGGTCGAAACTGAGGTCCCTAGGGCAGCAGAGGCCAGTTTATATACATGGGGAGATAAGGGCAGGCTGTGCGTGTTGGTCCATGCGCAGCTGGTCCATGCACAGCATGCTGACACGGCCCCGGGGGCCGGTGAGTCAGAGAGGCTGTGTCAGCGGAGCCCGAGCTGTGCCGCGCACTGCCGTCCTATCTAATCAGATCGTACAGTAGATAATGATGCGTCCATATCGGGCATGTAGTACCGAGGTCGCGGGTTCGAGCCCGCGAAAAGGAAAAAATTACAAAATGGCTAGACACCGTACCAACTCGTGACAGACCCAGTCGAACACCCCCAGCACCTTTTTGTTTGTGTTTCCCTAGTCGCTTGACCCTAAATCGTGACAGAACAGGGCCTCTAGCCCCCAGCTGCTCATGCACCCGAGCTTGTGAGCTCATTCCTGACCGTGCGGATCTGCGTATTTCAACAGTATTGACAGTATCTTGATCGGGAATAGCCAATGTACACAAGAGTGTGAGCTGAGGATGTGATGGTGCTGCTGTCGAGAAGAAGTGGAAGGCGCTCCGGATAGAGAGATTTGTTTCATTAGAAACGAGAGGGAAGCTTGTCGAGAATATCGTGTGCACAGTAGCATTTGGCAAAGGTAGTACCAAGGATAGTATTGCTGGTGGCAGTGAAAGTTTGGCCTCAAGGGCCATCTTGACATAGGCAGGTAAATCTTTTGTGAACTTCTCACCAGACCCAATCCATTCGCTTTCTAGGAAGACACCAGCGTGGCTTGTCAACTGTGGTGCCATGGGAGTGACCGATGTGGTAGGGCCAAGTGGTTCACTGGCAAAATCCGCAGGAAGATGACTTGCAAGCGCGGGTCGCGCGCTTCGTGTTCGGAACCATGATCGCTCCGTCTCAGTCTCCATCGCTAGACTACCCCGACCTCCCCACACCATCTCAATCTCTTTACCTCGTGCTCTACAACCGGACGAAGATGCATCGCACCTCACGTAGGAGCCGGTACAGCGTGCGAAGACCAAGGACAATAAGATAAGACACGCGCATGAGGCGTGCAGGTCGGCAGAAGATCGCTTGTTCATTCTTTTCTTCTTCTCTTCACTCCTGTAACCTTCGTCCTGGACAGCCCGAGCGACGCGGATTGCACGCGGGACGTAGGGTCGAGCGCGTGATCATGCCTCCTCCGCTTGTTGGGGGGCAACGCGTTCGTAAATAGAGTCGAGAATCGTCACGCTGACTCCCCGAACGT